GGGCCGGGGATGAACAAGCCGGGGGGGGGGGTCTCAGTGCACCCAGTTCTACTGTGTGGCTTTTGAACCATGTTACTGTATCTCCTAATTAAAACAAACAGTCATGAATTTTTAAAGAGTGAGAGAAGGTCATTCAGAGGCAAAGAGAAAGGAGCCCAGGACTTGGAGGTTCCAAACCTGAGACCAAACTAGAGACCTCGTTTTGGACTCTGCTCTGCCCGAGACGATGAGCTTCAAGTGGCGCCAGGGTAAAGGTCTTACTTGTTAGCCACCAGCCGCATGACCGTCCAGTCCTTCGGGAACATCTCCGGGCGAATCAGTATTCGAAACACGGTGAATATCTGCAGCAGGAAGTCCTGGGTGGGGAGGAAACAGGTCGTTTCACTGAGTTATTGGTGACTGTAACACGCACACACGCACGCGTGCTCACCACGCACCCGTTCACACGTGCGCATACATGTGCGTGAACGCATGCGTGTGCTCACAGGCGGCCACCTGTGTACGCGCATGCTCGCACATGCACACGCACACACACGGCCTCTGTCGCCATTTCTATGGTAACAACAGAGAAGAAGGGAGCCGGCCTTCGGCACCTGGCCCCGGAGCAATCGCCCCCCTTCCCCTTCTCGGCACCCGATCAGCTGGCTCCCCTTCCCCCGTGGTCCCTGCTCCCTCTCGCGCGCACAGTGGAAATGACTTTTCATTTCTTATCGCAAGACCTCAACGGTTAGGTCTTAGAAGTAACGTGGAGAAGTGGTGACAGAAGACACGCAGGGCAACAGCCTCCTAATGTCGTCACAGGGTCGCAAACACCAGACGGCTCCACTTCCAGAACCGTGAACGTCCCGGCACAGCTCTGCTTTCCGTCAAGAGGCCAAGAGGCGTCCGCATTTAAAAAGGCACGCTCGTGGGAGAGCATCTGGGGCACACCCGGGCCTCTCGGGGGCACTGAGGCCGCGGCACGAGCGGAACGCATGCAGCCTGGCGGCCGGAGTGCGCAGGACACACAGGCGCGCGTGGTGCCCATCAGAGCCCAGCCCCAGGCCTCGAAGCTGCGGGACGGTAAAAATGTCCCTTTCTTATGTAAAATTGACTTTTCAATGACAACCGAGTGGGGAGGCATTCTCCACGAGGCGCCACCAGGGGGCGGGCACGTCCAGGGATGCTCTTTCGACAGGTCGCCCCAACACTCTGGAGCGGAAGCTGCCATCGGCCGGCCGTGGGAACGTCTCCCCACCTTGCAGGCGGCGCCCCAGGAGGCGACGGCACACGGTCCTTAGCACACCGCACGGGGTGGAAGACACGGAGCTCAGCCTGCCCAAAAGCCACGGGCTCAGCTGAGCTTCCACTTAGATTTATTAACTAGAAACCTCAAGGAATTTTTTTGTAACCTGAAGTGCTGCTAGGGAAATATCTGTAATGAACTGATTGAAGGCAACAATATTTTAGTGTTGCCTAAAATATTTTAAAAATACAACCCCAAACACAAAAGTTGTATTTGTCAAACCCAACGACACATCATGTTAAACACGTAAACTGCTTGAATATAAGGTTATGGTTGCCACTCATATCATCAGGAGACAGGCTTAAACACTAAGAGACATGCTGGGGTGTGTGTGTGTGTGCGTGTGACATACTCTGGACTCTGATCAGCTCGCGAGTATTTTTGGCATCAGCCCAGATGTTGATACATACGAGCCATGTGGACACGTGCCCACTGGGTCACCCGTCGTAAAAGGGCAAACGGTCCCTGCCATGTCTGCAGAATCACCAGGCACCGCTTCCCAAACGTGTCCCCTGCGGGTCGGGTATTTTGGGAAACACTTCACGTGCTAGACCTCCCCGAGGGTAGTACAGCTGAGAAGCCCTTCCTAAGGTATTTCTGAAACTCGTTCTCAATGGTTTTTCAGCTCTCTTCTGGGCTTCGCAGACACGAACCCAGTCAACCCCGAAGGGGACACCTGCATTTCCCCCTCAGGGCTACACCCCACCCCCATTTCCTATCCTGGTACATTTACTTAGGTGTCACAGAAAAATCGTGAAAGTAGGAAGTCATTTGTTTCATAGTCTGCAATTAGTTAGGGAGAGTTTAAATAAGTTGTGCAATGCTGAAGTCTCATCTTTTCTCCTCAAAACTCTGAACAGAACTGGAAGTTGGAGGGAGTACCCTTAGCCGCGGGGTGTGCGTTTGTGCGTGTCTGTGTGCGTGTCTGTGTGTACGTGGGGGGGTGAGATGTAAGTGGCACAGAGGAAACAATGGCTGAAAGAACTGGCTATAGAAGGTGAGACTTCCAGCTTTCATATGGAAAACACTACAATAATTAGTGAGTAATACAAGAATAAACTAGATCTCACATCCTCACAACTGCAGACCTACTCTTGCCCCACCCTGTGGAAACATACCTATTTCCCCTCAGAAAACTTTTCAGCATCTCATCCATTCCAGCTCCATCAAACTTTACAGAACCAAACACATTCCCTTTTGGAAAACTTACAGTAAAAATGAAAGGACATTTTACTAAAAAATCAGAAAACTTAGATTTCCGTGGCTCTGCCATTCAACTAGCCAGTGAACTTGGCAACTTACTGAACCTCTTTGGAGCTGAGCTCTTACATATACTTGAAGCATGTGAGGGCTTCCAGGTCTCTTCAAGTTAGAGGAGATCTTTAAAGTTAACATGATCACTTATCTACTCACGCAGCACGCAAAACCTTTCTTATTTCTAAACTGCAGGCTGTCCGTCAGATAGGTAAGCGCCTCCGGGGAGGCGCACGCTGATCATTCGTTCACCGGCGTTTCTCGCCAGCGCTGGGCACAGGTTCATTTCCAAGGCAGCTCCAGCATCTCGGAGCACTAAGACCGGCCGCGAGGTCCCCCAAGGCCCCCTCGGCCCCAGGGCAGTGGCACCTCCTCTGCCCTCTCTACCTACTTCTTGCACGGATGTGCGCTCTCGCATAGAAGTGTGAAATTATTCTGCACACACAACAGTGAGTAACTGATTCCTTCTATAATTAAGGAAGGCGTTGCTATAATAACAGTGCTGTTTGCCTAGCACAAAGAACTAAGTAGTTTATAACCACAGTTTTAAAATTGGCAGCCTGGGAGCAGTTTCTTTTCTCTTTTGTGTACTTCAAATATCACAACACGGTAATTTAACTGCGATGCCGGTTATTATTCAAATAAGCTTTCAAAATAAACACAGAAAGTGGGAGGTGCTACTGTGCAGAGACACTTTTTTTGTCACTCAAGAGGCTCAAGTAAGAAAGTTCAAGCAAGAAAGTTCAAGCGAAAACCTCCCAAAAGGAAAAAAAAAATCCCATATTCAAAGAGAAGAGAAAGCAGGAGCCATTATTGTGGTTTTAGAAATTAGCACTAACATTTATTCATTCATAAGTATCGGGCCGAACTAGGTGCCAGGCACTGCGCTAGAGACTGGGGACGCCCAGCGGGGAGACACATTCCTTAGTTACTGTGCGAGGCTGTGCCCAGTGCCTGCCGCCCGCCGCCCCCAGCGCTGAAGGTGACCTGCCCTTCCTGCGGCTCACCCTCTGGTGGGAGACACGAACGTGATGCTAAACCCACTGGGGTCTGCGCGCGCGTGCCCGGCGAGGGCACGTCCGAGGGCCGGGCGCTCCACTCGGACGGAAGGGCACTGGCAAGCGCCAGGGGAGGGAGGGGAGAGAGCGAGTGGAGCTGAGAGATGCAAAGGGATAAAGGATGGATGGGGGGGGGACAGACAAACATGATAAATAAGTAGGGACCAATAAAAGATAAATAAATAAATGAGGGCCATTCAAAGATGAATCGATAGACAGATAGATGATAGATAAATAAATCTCAGTCCGTTTCCACGGTAAGCAGTTGGGAAACTTACCCTGAGGGCCACGTGGGGACCCTAAAGGGTTCTATGCAGATATGTGAGAGGCTCAAAGTCGTGTTTTACAAAGATTTTCTGACAATAAAGTATAAAAAACTGCCTTGTGTTTACACGTGATGTTATGATATCAGGACAGCACAGGTGGAACGTGCGTACATGACACAGAACCTGAGACGCATGGGATTCTGAGATCATGAAACCTGGGTTAAGACACCAGGAGAGAAAACACCGGGAGGGAGGTGGACGGACCAGGACCGTGGCCCCTACGTCAGTCAAGAGCGATGGGGGGGACAGAGCTTGCTCAGAACACATTCCCTTTGCTTATGGTTTAGAGTCAAAGGTTATTTAAAAATTCTCCACGAACGTCAAAACGTGTCACACCCCTGACACTGGGTTTAAGTTCAATTAGGGGCGCTAATAATCAATATCCCACTGCGGTCCTGTCCCTAACACCCACTACTTCAGCGCATTAGGTCCGAGCAACTCTTAAACGGCCTCGATCTTCGAGAGCTACAGAGCGCTCTAACAGAATAAAAACTCTCAGTCAAAATAACTGTACGAGCAAAAACGGCTCGTGAAGCATTAGGCCCTTGTTACGGGAGCCGAGTCACTCCACCAAGACGGCGCGTCCCCGGCTCTGCGCTTAGGACACGAGGGCAGGGCCCGGCTCTCGCGCCCGTCACCAGGAACACGGGGAAATGACAGGACATCAGGGCGCTCTGTGCTGTGCTCCAACGGGGCGGGGGGTGATTACAGCCTGTGAAGGCCTCGTAAAGAGCGATACCCGGGCTGGGTTTTACAGCAGCAGCTGAAGGCAGGGACGGGATTCCTAAGGGTACAAATTAGGCGGCAGGAGTGAGGTGGGGGTGGAACAGGGTTTGCAAGCAGACCAAAAAAAACAAGACTCAGGTGCATTAAAACTTACGCACACGCCTTGTTAGGAAGAGGCGATGTGAAGGGGCTGGAGCGCAAGGGTTTGGAAAGGACCGAGGCCATGAGGACGGAGGCAGACTGAGGACAGGGGGACTTGCCCACGACCTTGGGCTCTGCCCCGTGGGTGCCCTGAAGCCTCGAGGTTTAAAGTCGGAGTGAGGCTCCATCAGGGAGGATTTTTGAAAGCTTG